CCTTATGGCCACATCATGGCCACTCCCAAACAAAATAGTCGGCAACTGATCAACTCCTACGCTGTGACAACTATGGGCCACGACGTGACAATCTTCCAACGAGATGGTCGAGAAGATACCTGTCGCCACGTCGTGGGACCAGGTAGCGACGTTGTGGGCACTGGTCAACAAAGACATAATGGATTCAGCAGCTTTGCCACAATCCCAACAGCTCGAACATCTAGATCTAGACCTCCTCATGGTTTTGATGGATAAAGTTTCCAACTTTATCCATTAAGACCTCTTATTATGACAAAATCTCAACCTCTAAATTCCTAATGACAACATTAAGCCATGATTATAATCAAAGATCCATGCAAACCAACTTTCCAATTAACCCCAAGGTCTGGAGGTTAGCCATTGCACTAAAAGGTTTTGGAGTTCACTCCAACTCCATAACCAAGAGGATTTGGGACAAAACTCATGAAATTTACCTAGGACTAGATCTATGGAATAAATGGTGAAGGTAAAGAATTTATAGCTTCAAAGATGCATAAATAAGATGTATATGACAGATCTAAGCTGGAACCACACTCACAAACAACACCAAAAGCTGCTTATTTCTTTAACCTTCATAAAAATGGAGTTCAAGCTCACAAAGCACAAAAGGGGGCTAGGGTTTGGATGAGGCTTCGTTCTTAGAGGGTGGAGACTTCCAAATGAGGCAACCCTAGGAGGTAGTATCCTTAAATACGACATCAACCTCGAGATTAGCGTTTTAGGCCCAAAAAAGTTGCCACGCCGTGGCTACACAATGATATGTCGTGGCCAAGCGCGGATGCACGTTATTCATTATTTCAGTACCACATTGTAGCACTCCAATGCCACATTGTGGCCAGGCCAAAGCAAAATAAACAATTGAAATTAATACGTGGAACACAGATGTTTCACTCATTTAGTTTTTTTACTAACAATCGGCATATTTTAATTTTTGTTTCTGATTCGTATACCGCTACACTGAAATATTAGAAAAATCATAACTTCCTCTCACGAAGTTAGATTTGCACATTCTTTATATGCACGTTCTCAGTTTAAAGACTATTATAAATTTCGTTTATGGTGGTTTCGTCTCAGTTAAGCCTAAGAATCAAAGCAAAGAAAGAACCGATGTCAGTCATCATCCAGGTGGGGGTCCCGAAATGCGAATCTGACGGTCAAGTCATTAATTGGATGAGAGAATTAGGGTTTAGCTTTAAGACAGTGAAAGAACAAAGGCTTCCTTTATACATGTCGGAGGTGGAGCATGTCCCCGACAATACTTTTTGTCTTGTCTGGGCTACCAGGACGTGGAGGCGTCTTATTGGCGGATTGTGCACCACTAGCGGTTACCTATTATTGGTGTAGAACCACCAAAGGGCAACACTCTGAGCACTACACTTGTCTATCTAGGGAGTGGTTGGTACTTTTTTGGCTTGTTAAGGACCAGAGCATCTTATCCTGAGTTGGACCTTGGCGCTAGAGCGTCGTGACGTAAGTGTGAGGTCATGAGGGAGAGGGCCCAGACCTAGCACTTACGCTGGGTAGCGACCGTTAACTAGGTTGTCCTTTAGATAACCGTCTCGTTATCTTTGATGTATTCCTAGAGGGATACATTAACAAGTCCCCTAGGGTAGTAAACGTCAATGTTAGCTTTGGGATAGGTGAGTTGTTCTAGCTTAGCCATAAACATATGTTTGGCTGGGATGGTTCTAACGTGTACTGATGTGATGGAATTGTCTGCGCAGGCGCTTTCATCATTATAATTGTTCATATTTCCTATTCTGAATTTAAGACTTCACTTATCAGGGATGTTTCCCTCTTCTTCTCTCCACTGCTTTTCAATTGTTCCTTTTTTCCTCTTCGCTTCCTTTATCTTTCGTCATGCATTTGCTATCGATAAACAATGGAATTTCCAAACACCAGAATCGAGCCTGCACCAAAGGAGTTTGAGTCCTTGTAGGCCCGATTTGCCTTTATTTTTGAGCACGGGGTGCCATATCCTCGAAGGGGGGCACATATTTCTCGATTGCCGAAAGGGAAGGTAGGAGTCCCAATCCCAATCTTCGAGGCAGGTCTTTGGCTGCCGACAACTGAAATTTTTGATGAGATCATGTGCCAGTATGGGTTCTCTATTGACGATCTAAATCCTGATGTTGTCAACAAAATAGTTGGTTTCGAGATGGCTTGTCGAGCTTTGCGCGTGCCCCCTCAATTCTAGGATTTCAAGTACTTCGTAAACTCCTCTACTCAGTCCGGCATGCATACGTTCTATCAGCGACAGGGCGTTTATGCATTTATCATAAACAATAAGGCCCCCAAGAAAATCTGGCAGGACAAATGGCTATGGGTGAACTGTAACTTGGTCTGCTTTGGCTATCCTTTCCGAACCACTTTCTCCGAACGGATACCTCCACTTTAGGGTGCTAGCAAGACTGTGGCGAATGCGTTGAAAAGAATTTTTTGCAATAGGAAGGATTGGGAGGATTATATACTCGTTGCGGTTGGGATGAGCACTAGCTGCAAGGCTCGTGGGATGATGCCTCAGTTCTTCGTAGAGACAGATGGTGAGTGTGCATGTCCTTCCCCCCTATTTTTTCATACATAAATATCGATGGGGTGAAGTCGGGGCTTTGCCGATCTTCTTATATATGTGATTTGTTTTTCGTTGCAGGTCGCGAGAGGATCATTCCTTTCGATATGGTCCTGCGAGGCATGTTCCAGAGCGGTTGCCAGTACGGGGAAGTGCCTCTGGTGGAGATGCTTCCTCTACTGGTCAACGTTGATCGTACTCTGGCATTTGCTGGTGCTACCGTTGTTGTGGTGCAGGGAACCACTCCTCAAGCTGACCAGGCATTGGTCGACGCCACTGTGGAGGGGGTTTCTCGCGACAATGATTTGCCTACCGATCTCGAGGACAAGCCAATGAAGGAGGTGGCGACTGGAGGCAGACGACCGGCTACCAAGTGGCAAATAGCCTGGCTGGACTACCCACTTAGTGAATGCACCAACGTTAGCACTGTTGGCAGGCATCTTCGTAAGAGACGTAACATATCCTGTGAGGGGAGTCCGACGTTGTAGTGGACATTCCCGATGACGACGCTTCGAACCTGTCGGAGGGAATGAATAACGAGTTGACTGAACTGCCTCATGAACCAAAGGAAGAACAAAGGGATGCTACCAACCACAGTGAAGGCTCTATAGGGATGGAGTAATGTTTTTTTTATGAATGAGACTTTTCATGTTCCATAACTTGAGGACAAGTTATGAAACTCTTCAGAAAACTTTTGATCTTCAAAAAAAGTTGTAACTCAAAAAAACTTTTAGAATTCCAAAACATAAAGACAACTTTTGTACCTCTCCAAAAACATTTTGATCAAATTTTAAACCAATAAAAATAATCATATATTCTTTATCTTTTAACATATGACCTAATAACAATTCATGTATCAAAATGATTCAAATCAATTTTTACAAATAATTAGCTTTTTCACAAAATCAAGTAATTATCTTAAAATATGACAATCATCATTTAATTGGATGATAATCACTACCATATCAGAAAAATCAGATTTTATGACACAAAACAATTTAAGGTAGTGATCCTAATCCAATTCTAGCCAAAAAAACCCGAAAATCTTCCAACAGACTGCTGAACTCGTCGAGCCAAGCAATGGACTCATCAAGTTCATCATGAACTTGTCGAGTTCATACATGGACTCGTCGATTTCATGTTGGCAGAAGGCAGAAGTTCATTTTTCTAGCTTTCAACACAATACAAATGCATCAATATAACAGAAAACTACCCATGGCTCTGATACCACTGTTGGATTTTAGGTACTATAACACTCTTATGGTGCACATACAACCCTAATAGCTTTGGATCTAAGTTTTCTCTAGTTATACATGCAACAAAAATTTCCAAAGCTTGAAACGTACAACTAGCATACAATATTGACATATGAATCATAAAACCAAGTTAGAAAATTACCTCTTGTTGTAGATTGTTATATTTTGTCTTTAAAAGCTTATCACCCCAAGTGTTGTTCCTCAAACAAGTCACAAACACCATGAACAATTGGAGAACAAATGAGAGAGAGGTTAGGCACCAAAAATCGTCCATATTCTTGCAATGTCACTCTTAGGTCCGATTTTGGCTAAACGGGTTACACATATATAGTGTAGAATTCCAAGAGTTATGTGTAACCCAAATTCTTACACTTATGCTTATAATGATCCATAACTTATTTGGACTAATAATTTATGGACTTTCATATAAGCTTATCCCATTACAAATTAATCATGGATCATTAGCCCAAACCATATGTCTCACTGATCAACATAATCAGTCCCCGTTAATTTAATTCGTCTCTTCTGATCACTAAATTAATTCCAAATTAATTCTTGATCAATACTAATTAAATAATATGATTTCTTAATTAATATATTATACTTATAATATATTAATAAATCACAAATAACCTCTTACTCAAATATCCATCCTATCAAATTGTCCTGATGAAGGCAACCCGAAATGGACCATGCTACTATCGGGTCAAGTACATACCAATTATAGTTATGGGCTTAGACACCTAATCCAACATGATAATGTTATTGCAAGTTCCTCTTCTTCACCCCTGGCAGCCCCTGGAGTTTACATCCCGGAGTGGGGGCTCACTCGAGAGTCCCTTCTTACACAACATCTTGTTGCGTACGAGTGGGTCCGTCATGATTTCCCTCCGGCTACAATCGAAGCTGTGGAGCTCCTCTCGAACTCTCACATGTCCAAGAGTCTCTAGCATGCGGTGGAGAAAGGATTATTAGAAGAGTAGTTGAAGCAGCAGGCTGGACAGCTGGCTGTCGAGGAATCCAGAAGGAAGACTATGGAGGGGGGGGGGGGTATTGTGTGGTTGATCTGGGAGGGCATTATTTGGGTGGTTGATCGGGTCATTGAGAGTCATGAGTTCTCATATAGGGCTCGGCGTATGAAGGCAGAGTGCGTCATAGTTGGTGTGGAGGGGGGCAGGCATGTGGTGAAGGAACAGGTGGCCTCCGAGAAATTTGATCCACAAGAGCCAAGTGTTGTGGTGGAATTAACTCAGGTCATGCATGTTTCTGTGAAGACGTTCATGGAAATGGATTTTTCCTCCCTCCCTCATTTGGGTGATCTCCACTTGGAGGGCCTACGTCGGTTGTGCCGTGACCCTGACGCCGAGGAGAACACGCCTGAAGGTGAACCTCTCAACGGTGGATCTTCCTCCACTACTCTTGTTAAGTGATCCACCCTTCTTCCTCGCTTGTTTATGTAAAATAATGTTTGAATTTATGGTGTTCAGAGACGATATCTCAAAGACAATATCGTTAAGTGTTGTTTGGCCCTACATGGCCTTTTTAAGTGTGGGGGTTGTCCGACAGAACAATTTTTTTTCCTTTGGATAATGTGGTTATTCATGTTTCTTCAATGCATTTTGCTTTTAATCTCAGGTGGTTTACTTTGGCCACCGGTGATCATGTGCCCTTATTTTTTCTTTGCTGAAACAATTCTTCCCCCACGTTTTTGTTGTCCTTGGGGGGTTGACTTGGGAAAATTTTGTCTTTTGATTGTTGGGCATGTGTTTGGATTGGCGATTTAGCCACGTTATTAGATTCGCCCAGTTTATGTTGGGATTTTATTCAAAAATCCGGTTTCACAACCGGTAAAATTGACAACGGAAGCTTTAAAATTGTTGAATAAAACTAAAACTATTTTACCCACCAAGGATCATTTTGCAAGAGTTAGAAAGACTAAAACAACCATAGAAGGGAAAGCAAAACAACCTTTGAATATTTTGATCCTCATGGGAGGTTGGAAGTTTATAAAGTGTGGCATGAAACTTTAAAGCAAGAGTTCTCTACAAGTATCCACCAAGCAAGAGTAGAACCATCAAAACATGCTAGTATTCACTTGTAATTTGTTGTTCATAAGCCTTTGAAATATATACCAAATATATGTTCAAAGGTGAAGCAACAAAACGGGCTTTGTCTAGCATTAAAATGCAAGAGAATGGAGGAGAAGAGAGCTTATGAAGCTCGAAATTTGGCAGCCCTCTTAGAGCCTATCATGCTTACGGTTTGGGCTTCAAAGAAGAAGGAGAATGTGTCTTGCAAGAAGTCCACCTAAACCTTCCATGCCCTCCCTTATATAATACCCAAAAAGCAAAGGGAGACCATAAAGTAAAAGAGGGTCAACTTTGTCCCAAGCATGGCAAAAGAAGACCATGCTTGGTCTCCTTACAATTTTCGAAAAAAGGCATGTCCAAAAGAAGACAAAAGTTGTCTCATGTCTAGTTTTTATACACATACATGTTATCTTTATAAAAATCAAGTATTTTTATAAAGAATTCGCAACATATATATATATATATATATATATATATATATATATTATATATATATATATATATATAACTAGTCATATATAAATATCTTATTTTATATAAAACTATATTTTATATAAATTGTTACAAGCTTATTAAGATATAAATATGAATATATAAATATCTTATTTTATATAAAACTATATTTTATATAAATTGAACTAGTTTATTAAGATATAAATATAGCTTATAAATAACTATACTTTATGATATATTTCATAAGTTGTTATTTCTCCAATAAATAATATTTCCACAAATAATAAATTCTCAATTAGTAAAAATATTATTTCCATGAAGTAATAATTTTCCAATTAAATACAAGCATTGATATATTTAGTAATAATCAAATTATACTAATAAATAATCAATTGACGGTAACTTGCTATATGGTGTGACCCTATAGGATCATATATTATTAGCAATATCATTCTATAATGACTCTTGGGCATACTAGATCTTTCAATCTCCCACTTGCACAAGACTCATCATAGATTGATATAGACAGTGGTGAACGTCTAGCAACATTTTCACTGCCCCCAATAACATATGACGAAGAATGTCATTCATCAACATCCAATTCCCAAAAAGCTCTAAGCTTCAATTGATGTATTAAGGTAAGTTTATCAATTATCCCTTTGTTACAGACATCCTGTTGAACATGAGCCTTGAATCACAATCAATCTCATTTGTAATTCAACTTTGGGTAACACGCGTTAGATGTCTAACTCTCAACACATAAGAGGAACAAATCCCATCTTGACTACATAAGCCTCTTGCATAGTTCACACCATACCCGAATATGACTTTTATAACTGCCCGGTCAAGGAACAACATTTGGACATCTCAAAGCATAGCACTCCCTATACTTAAGTCCCACTATGTATCTCAGGTGTTAAGGATACAAAGATAGTACCTTTTAATCAAGTATCACTCATAATTGCGATCTATGAGATGATCTTGATGCGGGTCTGTTTAGTACTAGTTCTCTGACAAGTATCTATGAAACTTGGTTACAACCACTTGCCTACTTTCATCTAGTGAGAGTCAACCAATCCATTTCATATTAGTCTTACTTCATAATTGCTCCCGTAATTATGACCGACTATGAACCTATAGAATAACAAGATTATTCATGGATTAAACATGTTAATCTAGAACACAAAAAGTATTAATGTAATGATTATATCCCAGTATATCAAAACATTATTTAATAGTTGTTGTTACAATGTTCCAATATCCAAATACTAAATCCAAACCAAAGTCCCATTTCTAGAATAATAAAAGTCTTATGGCTTAAGTGTGACCACTCATACTTAGCTTAAAAGGAAAGACTTTATTAATGGGTTCGACTAAATTTAATTTGTGTGAATTTCGCGAATACGATATCTCCATAATTGACTTGTACTCTAGGTATAGTTAAATATCTTGGAGAATATGATTGGTGTTCTTTCTTGACATAGAGTCCCTTAGCTTGATTAAGTCAACTCTTGAAATCACAAAGATTTCTATGTGATCCTTGAATGGCAGAAATCAACATAGTTTTTCAATGAACTCATTCATCCAATCATATTTGACTTCAACTTCAAAAGTTGTATATTCTTATTTTGTAGTTGATTGTGTCATTATGTTTTGCTTGGACCTCATTCCAACTAAACTTACTCTTCATTCCAAAATGAAGTGATAATCCAATTATAATTCATAATTATCTATATTTATTTAGAAATCAAAATCCTATGTAGCTCTTTACATTAAGATTTTTTTCTAAACTAATTATCTCATATACATTCTCTTAGCTCTTCGTAAGTACTCTTAGAATGTTCTCACAGTCATCTAGTGACATAACCATGTATTCAATTTTGTATCTCATGATATGACATAATTGATGGATTCATTTTCCAAGCAAATAGAATGTAAATCATTTCTTCTAGCTCAACCTATGTGCTAGGTCCATTTGAGACAAACTAAAAAATGGAGTCATGTGACAATGTCAAGAATCTTCCAAAGGATTCTTGTATCTTGACCTCTTTCAAGATATTGTCATTTTATGAAAAAGAATTTTCAAACCTTTAACATTCATCTTTATCTATCTCTTATAGATTTTATTATTCCAAGAATGTATCTTGTCATTCCTAAGTCATTCATTTTAGAAATACTTTCCGAGTCAAGGTGAAAACCACCTTGCATAGTCGGAATATTATTTCAAATGATTAAGTATGTCTCTTTCATACAATATTAGGAATATCACTATCCTCCCACTAGTTCTTAGTAAACACACATGTTCTTTTTCATTTTGATATAAAAGCATACCTTGTATGTAACATCCGGATTCCCAAGTATTTCATTTTAAGTATTTATATTGAGTTTTGGAGAGGGACTCGGCGAGTAGGCGCACAGACTCGCCGAGTAGAATCGCGCATGGTTGGACTGATTTAGTGACGGACTCGGCGAGTCCATACGTGGACTCGGCGAGTCCATGCTGTTTAATGAAACCCTAATTCTCGGGGCCTGGGCCCTATTTAAGGACCTTTATAGCCACCATTTGCGGCTATCAGACCCCTGAGAAACCCTAGAGAGCAGAGAGAAGGCTTGTAGTGCAAGAGGAGGGCTATTTCATCATTCTAAGTGTGATCTTGCAAGAAAGAAGGAAGGAGGACAAACAAGGAAGGTTGAGGAGCTCAGATCTATCATCCATTTCATCAGAGGAGGCTACTAGAGGTACTAATCTGTGCTCAAACTCGTGTATTTGGTGTTCTAGTTGAATCTAGGGTTTCCTTGTACCTTCTTTGGCTTGGATTCGAAGTATGTGAGGTCCCAAGGTGGAGTTCTTTATAGATCTGGACCTTAAGAGGTCCAAAGAGTCCTATTCACATTGCTTTTTGCTACTCCATTAGAGATATGGCCCTAGGTTGCCATTTTAGGGGTTATTTCACCCAAAGAAGCTTTTTGGTTATTGCATAAGTGTAAAGGTTAGACCTTTACGTGATTATAGTGGTTGGGAAGGCCAGATCTATGGATTAGAGGAACAGATCTGACCTCAGAAGGTCGTTTGACTGTGAGCATGGAATGTACTCGCCGAGTCCATGAGAGGACTCGACGAGTTGAGTCGGGTTGCCCCGCGACTTGCGATCTGTGACGACCCGTGGAGTATAGGGTTGACTCAGTGAGTCAAGAGAGGACCAGGGGCGAAGAGGGCAGGCGTGTACTCGCCGAGTCACTCTAGTGCACTCGGCGAGTAGGGTCAACTGTGGCCGTTGACTTTCGTTGACTTTTAGGGTTTCGGTCAACAGTTGGACTTTTGAGTCAAGGAGGGTAAAATGGTCTTTTACCCTTCTGAGGGATCGTAGAAGGGGGTTTAATCTAGCATTTGAGAGCCATTACTTATTGAGGATATTTTGTATGTGATTAGGCGGGGGCTAGATCAGTCGATTCGTGTGCGAGATCATCCGAGATACCCGAGGTGAGTCTTCTCACTATACGTTACCTAGAGTGGTATTTATGTGTAGACCAGAGGGTCATGTATGCTATGAGTATGTATGAGTTTATGTGCATTGTGTTATATGTATGCTATGTTATGTATAGACCGGACCGGAGGGTCCAACGATATAGACCGGACCGAAGGGTCCAACGATATAGACCGGACCGAAGGGTCCAACGATACAGATCGGACCGAAAGGTCCAACGAGCTATGACCGGACCAGAGGGTCCAACGAGCTACGGGACTGGAGGGTCCCGCTGAGACACATCGGACCGGAGGGTCGTATTGTAGCCTCGAGTGGCGTATGTGTTGTATGTGGTATTTTGGGGAACTCACTAAGCTTTTATGCTTACAGTTGTTGTGTGATGTGTTTCAGGTACTAGTGAGG